TTAAAGTCAGATAAAGAATCTTAATACAAGGAAAAGTTCTTGTGAATGAAGAAAATCCCGATAATTAGATTCTAATTCTCCTATTAATACCTTATGTATCTTTGGGTTTTAGTATAGAATATATTTTTTAGAGTGTTTAGAGAATATACTTTCTACAATTTTCAAGAAAGATAAAATAATAATATAATTTTTTTAAAATTTATATGCAATCAAAATTCTATTTTTTCTTCTTCATAAATATAAATAAAATTTATCAAACTTTACATCGATTTTATGATATATTTTTTAACTTATTGATCTTTGGATTTTTTTTTTGATTTTAAATTTTTTTTCTCTCTTTTCTCCATCAGCATCTCTGCCTACTCCAACCAACCCACTTGCAAGAGAAGATTGCGGGTTCCACCCAGAGAGCATCGACCGACCTATATTTCCTCGTCTCCCTTCTTCCTCTTCAGGCTGAATGATGTGGAGCAACAGTGAAAGACCTGCAGATCGTGAAGCAGCTAAGAAACCCTTAACTTTCACTGTGCCAAAAGAGATGGAATGCTCCCTTTCTTTCGATACGAAATGAAAAGGCCTACTACAAGAACACCAGTGCTGACATCATCCTCAGTAAAGACTCATCCTGAAGAGCTCGACAATTACACGTCCGGGAGAAGGCTGCACAACAATCCGCTCTAAACTTCCGGCCACTATTTACTTGCAGAGACTGACAAGCAGCATCCAGTCATTGTTCTTTTTCTCGTGTTGAAACTCAAGATAAAGTTGGTTTTTGTTTGGATGGATGAAAGGAGTTGGCAAGAAGAATCAGTCAGACAGCTTTAGCTGTTTCACTTACAAGCACAAATCCCAAAAGCCATGCACGGGAAAAGTAATCTTCCAATGGGCTATCAAAGGAGAGGATAATTAGGAGTAATCAGCAAACAATGCGCCTTCTCTGTGTATTATATATATCTCCGGGAACTCTTAGCACCATTTCTAGTGTTGTGCAGAATCCATTCAGACTCGTCATCGGACTCACCCCTCTCAAGCGATGCGCAGTCCTCGATCTAAAAGGCAAACCGACTAGTCCATTGAATCCGAACAGTTTCTGTAGACTTTTCGTGGACTGTTCATAGCAAAAGGCAGCGTGATCCGCGTCATGCATGGCCGGCCGAGATAGGCATGGCATCCATATCATCGACGCTGTTATATCTCCTCTTCCAGCGATCTGATCATGCAGCGACTCCATGAGAAGAGCTTCGTCCATCACCGCCGAGACCGTGTCCCGCTAGCGAAAGGAAGACGACGGCTTGCGAATTGCCATGTTTCGCTTATATTGCTAGCCATGGGAGGAGGAAGACTTGATGTGCTTGACCTCAGGCCAGAAACGTTCTCCGAGAGAAAACCGTGGAGTTTTGGCTTAAGCTTAGCACTTAATGGGGAGGTGGCGAACCTAATCAGAATGGACTCACTATTTTAGATATGGTTGTGAAGCAAAATAACTTGACCAACTCTGATGAATAAGAACAAAAATAGAGTGTTAAGAAGAAATATTTATATAATAACTTTAATTTGTATTAAATCTCACACACACACACACAAAAAAAAAAAAAAATATATATATATATATATATATATATATATATATAATGTAATATAATATAATAATATAATAGCTCTCACTGATGATTTGAACTCTCCGACCGAAATTAACATGTGTCGCCTCCATCCTTAGTCAACATGGGAGCCGTCAAATCCTTTCAACGAGGATGTGATAGGTTGGAGGTGAGGCAGCCTCGAAGAGGCGTGTCCAACTCGGCCAGCAGTCGCCATCGTCCGACCATTGACAGCTCATACGATGCTCTGATAAGGGTGGCTCGTCCTACTTGCTCAGTTGCTATTCTTGATGGGGAGCTGAGGAGGCGGCCCACAACAGGCATTATTGGATCGAACTCCGTCAGACGATGATGTTGTTAATCAAGAAGCAGCGAGTGTTTCAGGACAAACGATCACCAACACCAAATGCCTAATCGGTCAGGACATACGACCAACCACATACAAAGTTCACCTCCTGCTGAATAGCTTCGCACTGTGCAGACAAACCACGAAC